TTTTTTCAAGTAACTTGACCAACACTGAAAATGACATGATGAATTCAAGGTTGTAGAAACCAAAGTAGCTCAAACCAGACATTTAAAATATCTTAATTATAAAAACCTTTATTCTGATGGTGTGGCCATAAGTTTGCTCCCTGATGAAGGCTTGTAAGGCAGGGGTGGGGAACTCCAGGCCTCGAGATCCGGTGTCCTGCAGGTTTTAGATGTGTCCTTGATCAAACACAGCTGATTGAAATGGCTTAATGACCTCCTCAGTATGTCTTGAAGTTCTCCAGAGGCCTGGTAATGACCTAATCATTTGATTCAGGTGTGGTGACCCAGGGTGAGATCTAAAACATGCAGGGCACCGTCCCTTGAGGCCTGGTGTTCCCTACCCCTGTTGTAAGGTGAAGCACACTAAGAGGGTAAACATGAACTTCCAAAGAACACCTCCAACAAGAACACTAAATGCACTAAAATACAGGAAGCTCTCCTTATTCAAAGTTTATGTATAAGGCCAAAGTTGTGGTCCCCAAGTCAAACTGGAACCAGCTAACCACTCCAGCTATGATGCGAATAAATGCCAGTTCACCAGTCAGCTGCTACAGACTGAATAACTGTCATAACAATTTGCATATTAATGATCATGAAACTGTTTCCACAGCTTACTGTCAGGTCCTGGTGCCAATTTGAGTCATTACACAACTGCCTTTTTAAGGCTTGGGAAACCTGCAGTCATCCTACACTGAAGAGGACATGACAGATGAGTGATAAAACGCGCCTCCTACTGAAAACGCTGCATCTAGATGAACAGAATCAACTTTTTGGTGCAACAGTTTATTTCCAGAGTGGACTACATTTGGCCTACAAACTGGGATTCCTGCTGCAGTTCTTGTTGGCGTGCGTACGTTCATGACGGTTACGTTTATCTGACCGGGAAAACCTTTTGTTACAGTGTCGGCACTTGTATGGTTTCTCTCCTGTGTGGATACGTTTATGCACTTTAAGCTGATCTGCAGTGGTGAAGGATGACCCACACTGGTCACAGAGGTGCTCTTTAACCCCACTGTGGATGAGTTCATGGCGTTTTAGTTTATCTGGTGTGGGGAAGCCTTTCCCGCATTCTTCGCAATAATGCA